CCCCCCCCCTAACACAACCCCCGCCGTGCTGCTATGAAAGTAAACGTGAACATGAGCCAGCCGGACGAGCTCGCCGCCGAGGAAGAGGAAGGTCTGCTCGACGCGGTGGGTGTTGCTTGGGTTGCTAAATAGCATTTCCAAGTAGGAAAATGTCCCGCCCCATAGCTCTGCTAGCTCTTTGCATGTTGGGAGTGATTTGTGTGTCTATCTTTTCTCCTGCGATGTTTTGTTTGCCCGGAGGGAATCACTCGACACGTATGTTGTTGCTTGGTTTGTTCGTAAAAAGGACAAAATTGTTGTTTATCTGATGATTTTTATGTCGGTGAACAGTACGCGTCTGCATCGGCAAAGATGTGCTAAAAAGTTTCGTCAACATGCAGAATAACTTTTCTGAATTTGTATACTACCTGTAGGCAAGGGGAAAGTGTCAACTATCGTGTTTGTTCACCGGCCAAGCTCTGACATCGACAATGAAGTGTCACAGTAGCCCGCTCGCTATAGCTCTGCTTATAATTTGCGTCCTACTTTTGTCTACTGCGATGTTTGTGTTCCCGGGACCACCTCCAAAAATATGTGATCTGTACCTGAACAGATGACTGTAGATGTCCTCCTGTATGGTTGGCTAATAACATACTACAAACACTCATCCTTTTATCGGCTGCCAACTTTTTCTCCTTTGTGATGTTTTATTTACCCGGAAAGGACGATTACCTCCTTGAGGGCAAGGGCTGCGGCAAGCGACGCGAAATCCCCGGGAGCCCCGCGGAAGGAGGCGGGCGTAGTCCTACCCCCCCTCGAGACTTCGGGGGAGACACCAACATCATCATTTTCGGCGGCTTCAGCCCGATCGCGGGGTGAGTGTTGCGAACACACAAGCAGTTACTGGACGAATTGGTTCATTCCGAGTAGGGGGGGATCCGGCGATTTTCTATTTGTTTTGACTTTCGTGGTCTACTCTCGAGGGGAAGTGGGTGGCGGTTCGACACTTAAATAGATGTTACTATTATTCAATCTAGGTGTTGTGATAGCCTGGTCCGGTGAGAACCCAGCGTGCTCCGTCCCGGCTTTGTAGGGATGCGAGGTCAATGGTCTAACGACTACGGCATGCACGACTGTGAGTACCCC